TACTTAGATTTCTCCTCATTTTGTTGAGAGAAGAAATAAAGGTCAGTGGTTTTAAAGATGAGGCAGTCTACAACCATAAACATTTACAGTCTCTGAAACCCTATGGAGCAGTTCTACGCTATTCTGTAGGGGAACTATGAGTCAGAACTGACTCATCAGTAATGAGTCCGCTTTGGGTTTTTTGGTTATCAACCTAAGAAATGGAGCTTACTTAGTCATCTATTGCAACGTTTTCACTTTCTAAGTGAGTAAATGCCCTGAGATTTACAGATTCAGGCATTTCAAGATCAAAAACAAGTTCTTTAGTTGTTTTCTACCATTATTTTCACAAGTAATATATTGTTTTTGTTAAGTGCTATGCATACAGTCCCGCAGTTCCAACTCATAGCGACCCTGTATAGGGTTTCCAAGGAGCAACAAGTGAGTTTGGACTGTCTTGCGGTCCAATGTTTATTCTGCAGTGCCACTGAGTAATATCAAATGTTGTTGTTGTTGTCAAGTGCCTGAGATTCGGTTCTGAACCATAGCGAACCTGTATAGGGTTCCCAAGGAGTGGCTGATGAGCTTGAACCACCAACCTTGTAATTCAAACCAACTTATTAGTTTAGCACATTAACCCACAGCACCACACCAAGACTCTAATAAGACTTACTAAATCATTGGCATGATTCTAAAGATCTGGTTACTTTCTTCTTTATACTTTAAATAATAATAATGATAAAGGATAATAAGTAATAGTTATTTAGTGTTCTTTACTACATCTACATTAAATCAATCAACCCTCACATGTTGGTGTTATTGTTAAGTGCTTTCTAGTCAGTTCCAACTCATAGCGACCCTTATAGGGTTTCCAAGGAGCAGCTGGTGAGCTTGAACCGCCAACCTTGAGGTTCCAACAGAACTTACAGTCCAGCGAATTAATCCTCAGTGTCACACGAGGACTCCATTATGCTAATTTTTTGTTAAGTACCTTCAAATCAGTTCTGATTCATAGTGACCCTGTATACAGTTTCCAAGGATCATCTGGTAGGTTTGAACCACCAACCTTGAGTCTCAGACACCTTGCAGTCCAGTGCATTATCCTGCAGCACCACATTATGCTAATGTTGTTGTTAAGTGCCCATGAGTCAGCTCTGACCCATAGCAACCCTGTATAGGGTTTCCAAGGAGCGGTTGGTGAACTTGAACCGCCAACCTTGTTGTTCAAATTGACTTTGCAGTCCTCAGGCACATAAACCCTCAGCCCACACACTTAATTATTATGCTAATAGATACCACTCAATGAGTATTTGCTACATTTTGGAGTCTTAGGACTCCTGGTGTGGCACTATAGGATAAGCACTGGACCTCAAGGTGGGTTTGAACCTCAAGGTCAGCGGTTCATATTCACCAGCCGTTCCTTGGAAACCCTATACAGGAGCACTATGAGTTGGAACCGACTCAAGGGCACATAACAACAACAACACTGTGTTTTAGGAATTTAAATATTTCACATAGGAAATTTCAGTTATTTCAGTTGTCCTGACCTTCAATTAAGGCAACAAGTCAACTGCTGCAACTTTCAAAAAGTTTTCTAAACCATTTTGTTGTTGTTGTTGTTAAGTGCCATAGAATTGGTTCTGATCCATAGTGACCCTTTATAGGGTTTCTGAGGAACAGCTGGTGAGCTTTAACTGCTGACCTTGTGATTCAACCCAACTTTGCAGTCCAGTGTATTATGGTTCAACCCAACTTTGCAGTCCAGTGTATTAGCCCACAGTACCACACCAGACGCCTTTCTAAATCTAAGGAATTCAAAATACAATTGCATTTATTTCAGAAGCCCATGCTAATTTTAAGATTAACTCTTTTTGAATCCTATAACTTCCATAATTATCTATCCTATCTATGCATGTGCGTAGGTGTGGCACTGGGGGTTAATGCACTGGACCGCAAAGTCGATTTGAACCTCAAGGCTGGTGGTTCAAACTCACCAGCCACTCCTCAGAAACCCTATACAGGGTTGCTATGGGTCAGAACCGACTCAATAGCACTTAAAAGCAACATTGTTATTTTATTTTAATAAATTTTACTTCAGGAAAACATTTTGTAGTTTTTTTCATCTAACACATTTTCCAGTGATTTTTAATAATGATGAAAAGAGAAACTGTGCGTGTGTGTTTGAATAAATGGGTGTGGAACCCCCTGACCTGTTCTTTTTCTTGTTATTTTTGCTGCCTAAAATTTTATCATTGTTATTGCATTCTTTATACTCTAGAGCAGGGGTCAATGGACAAACTACAGCCCACAGGCCGGAGTTGTTATCTTGACTCTTATTTTGTAAAGAAAGCTGTATCAAAACACAGTCATATCCAACTTTACAAATTTTTTATTGGTACTTCTGCAGTAAAATGACGGAGTTGAGTAGTTGCCACAGAGACTGTCTGCCCTGCAAAGCCAGAAATACTTGCTCTCTAGTGTTTAACAGACAAAATTAGATAACCCTTGTTCTAGAACCCTTGGTATATTAGCCCTTTATAGTGAGTGTCAGGAGTTTTAGTTAAGAACTCATCTCCAAGATCTTGCTCTCTCCTGTTTCAGTAGTCTTAATGGCAGTGTTAAAGTTGAGGTACCAGGCTTTGGTCTATGCTTTTGATGTGTAATTCTTCAGAGATGTGGAAAGATAATAAGTATAGACCAGTTTGCAAGGAAATTCTTTTTTTTTTACATTAAAATCTCATAGATTATAGAGTAATTTTATTTATAAGCTGCAGAGTTAACCAAGTTCTAATTGCCTTTTGAAAATACTCAGCAATAATCTCTACTAAAAGAAAAGGCTTCCCAGTGGAGCCTTGTAAACCTGTACCATTTAACTATATAGTCACATATTGTCTTACTTAACTAATACTGCTATAACAGAAATACCACCACAAGTGGAATTTAACAAACAAAACTTTATTCTCTAACAGTTTTGTTGTTGCTGTTGTTAAGTGCCGTTGAGTCAATTTTAACTCATAGCAACTGTGTACAGAGCTTCTGAAGAGCAGCTTGTGGGTTTGAACCACCAACTTTGTGGTTCACAGTCCAGTGATTATCCTAAAGTGCCACAACAAGAGTCAGAGTAGGCTAAATATTTGAATTCAGAGCACTAAGTAAAGGGGAAAGCTTTCTTTCTCTGTAGACTCTAGGGGAAGGTCCTTGTCGCCATTCAATGTCTGTGGGCCCAGTGTCTTGGCTCATAGAGGTCTCCAAGGAATACTGGGTCCAGGAGGTTCTTGGTGCAGGTACCATACGTCCAAAGGATGTGCTCCCTTCCAGGTTCTTCTTTCTTGGTAGTATAGTATCCATGTCCACCCTTCTGTGCTCACTTTGCTCTCCTTTTATTTTTCCTAAGATCAAAAGCAATGCAGGTCACACCCCAGGAAAAGTCCCTTTACATTGGATTAGGACAATGATTGAATTAGAGTGTTGCATGAGTCGGAAGCAACTCGCTGGCACTTCACAACAACAACAATCTCTCACCCTAGTCCTCTTTCAATTGATTGATTGGTCCCCTCAGATTATGCCTGATCATGGTAGTGATTGCATCATTACAAAACTGCCAAATTACCCCATTGCATGACTTCTAAACCATTGAGAATCATGGCCCAACTAAGTTGATACACACTTTGGAGGAACAATTCAATCCATGACAGATATTAAGCATTTATTAAAATATATGAATGTTAGGTTTTAGCTATGAATGTTGTTGTTGTTAAGTGTCGTTGAGTCGGTTCCGACCCATAGCGACCCCTGTACAGGGTTTCCGAGGGTGTAAATCTTTACAGTAGTAGAAAGCCTCATCTTTCACCTGAGGAGCAGCTGGTAGTTTCGAAACACTAATCTTAAGGTTCGCAGCCCGATTTGTAACCACTACGCTACCAGAGCTCCTTTTAGCTATGAATAAGTTCTGAATATTGATTTGAGAATAGAGTATAAAGCACAGAAAAAAAAAAAAACACTCAATAATTTATTTAGCAGTTAATATAAACAAACCAAGGAGTCCTGGTGTGGCGCTGTGAGTTAATGCACCAGACTACAAAGCTGTTTGAACTGCAAGGTTGGCAGTTCAAGCTCACCAGCTGCTCCTTGGAAACCCTGTATAGGGTTGCTATGGGTCAGAACCGACTCAACAGCACTTCACAAGAACAACATAAACAAACCATAACAAGTAATTATTTTGTGCATTAATTTATTCTTTCTCAATATATTTGTCCACCTACATCAAAAGCTTGTGGAATGCATTTTAAAAATGCTTAACCCTAACGCCCATTTTCTTCCTAAAACAGACTCTTTAGGGGAGGGTTTAGGAATATGCATTTTTAACAGTGCCAGAACTTTATTTTCATGCACAGTAGAGTTTGAGAACCTCTAGTTTAGTTAAGATTCTGTCAACTATGATTCTTGATCAGTTAAAACAAGGATCGATTTCCTATTATTAAACGGACTTTTATTTCAGTAATAATTCCAGTAAACTATTGTTGAAATGTCAAGTATGTATGGGATACAATCATAGCCACAAATTAGATTAATTTAACGGTAGCTACTAAATTTGAGAATGCCAATTGTAGAAGGTTTATTATGAGTATAATGATCTTGAAGCAATAGGAAATAATTAGCATTTAAATTAAGTTGTAGGTTAGTCACATTAGAGAAACGTTGGCTTGCTATGCATTTTTATAATGTTATTTTTGCATTGATTTTTAGCATGGATTATACCTTAAGTAATGAAATTTTGGAATAATAAGATTTTCATTACTAACTGAACTACATATTAATTGTGAATATTCTTGAATCTATATCTGTTGAACTTATTATTAAAACATGTGCAAGATAAATATGAATGTAAAGTTATGTACATGTAATATTTAAATAGTTTGAATACTTTGTCACTATGGTTACATTTATAATGCCACTTAAAAGGGTTATTGTAAGAGGAAGCGTGATTTTGCTTTAACCATAATTGTTTTCTGAAATTTCAGGTTGTGTGTGTGGTAAATAATTTCAAAGGAAGACAACCAGAAAATGAGCATATACACATGGATAAGCTAGCACACATGCCAATGATCAGCATTCCTCGAGTAGAAAGTCCTTTGGAAAAGGTAACATCTGTACAGGTGATTAAATTCTAGGATGTGATTATTACCTGGAGAGAATGAATTTCTTTGTGTTTATCTGGAGAGTGCCTACACATTCATTGTTGATTTACTGAAACAATCTGAGTCTAATGTGGTATTTGGCAAAACTTTTGCCACAGAAAGGATTATTTTAGAACAATGCACATCACATTTTAATATCTCTTTGTAGCCCTCATGCTGAGTACATATAAACTGAACATGTTCAGCTTCTAAATAAGAAACATTTGGAATGGTCTTATGTGCAGATCAAATAATAGGACAATTTACTGGAAAGTATATGCATTTTTTTCATAAAAACTTTCTATTTCTTTCATGTTCCACTTATATGAGAAAATGCTTAGTAGAATGCCTGACACATAATCAAGACATAATAAATATAGGTTGAACCTCAGTGCTAAAGGTATGGCAGCAGGAAAAAAACAATCATGTGCATCAAATGAAAAAGACAAATGAGGGTCAGCTTGGGATGAATGGACCTAGACCATGTAGCTCTTTAACCGGTAGAACAAAGTCTCATTGGGCTTGGCAATGAGCACAGAAGTCCCATGCTGATTTGTCACACACAAAAAAGTGTTGTACATATAAGTGAAGCATACCAATTTTGTGTGTGTGTGATTTCAGGCCAGTGTCATAGACACCTACCTAATAGGAATTCAGACAAGTGTTGGCAAAAGCTTCTCTTTAGTGGACAGAGTAATATTTGTTAACTGATGTGCAGTAATGTTCAAAAGGTTACCACTGACTTCCCCTTAGCTGTGTCCACATCCACATTTTGATCAGTTACTTAGCTGAAGAGTTTCATTTACATGTTTAGACTGTATGAATTATGTATGTATGTTTAGATTCATTTCGATTGTATGAATCTGTGAGGGATACATTGGATAAAAGAATAAAATTCTTGAGAGACTTCAATAAGATAAAATTAGCAATTAACTAGTAATACAATGCATAGTTTGCATTTGGATTAACAAACAAAGTTTATGTTAACGTCTTAAATAAAAATGGATTGGTTCCTAATGTTTTTTAAAGCTTTTATTTTGAATTGAGTGATAGTTTGCATGGGAGAACACAGGTTTTGCACTCATACTATCATATTTTGTTTCATTGCAATGATTACAATCCCCTCCATGCATCGTTATTTAACAGTATTTGCTTCTATCCCTTTGTTATTTATTTTGTTGTTGTTGTTTTTTTTATGTACACAGAAACACTCAGGAATAGATAATCATTTAAACAACCAAAGGGCACATTCCGTAAGCTTGCCTCCTGGCCGCCAGCACACAGCCTTTCTCTTTCCATAAGACTGGAGTACTCAATTGCTCTGTTTCTCGAGTCATCATCTTTGCCTACATCTCTGGTGTCGCTGCTTCTCTGGTTAGAGTCCTATATTCTGCTCATGTTCTTCTCCCTTGATGGTCTTACAGGCCTCTGTTCCTAAAATGTAAGATTAACTACTCTCCCCTTTATGTTCTAAAACTGCCTTTATAGATGTGACAATTGCAATTAGTCATAATAACAATTATTCACTATTAAATCAAAAGAATCTGATCCCCATCTCCTTTAAACAGACCCATTTAGCCAAGATAAAAACTATTCAGTGAGGATTCTCCCCCGACACACACACACACACACACTGAATCTAAACTCCCTCTCAAAAACTTGTAAGCTACCCACTTCACACTTTTATAGCACCTCCCCCCCTTTTTTTTAGGTAGCCAAGTCAGTACACAAGAAGGGGGAGAGGGATAGAAGAACAAGTTAGATAGGGGAACACTTAGGCAGGTTTGCATGGGCTAAATGGGACAGAGGTAAACAGTGTCGTATGCTCAACCTTGGAACAACGTGTCTTTTTCTTGTAGAGGTGTTGTAATTTTCTATAGATTTTAGAAATTAATCACTTGTCTGATAAGTCGTTACAAAAGATTTTTTCCCATTCTGTGGGCTCACTTTCTACTCCTTTGGTGAAATCTTTTGAAGCATTTAACTTCCTAATTTGTAGTATGTCCCAATCATCAATTTTGTCTTCTTTTGTTTGTGCAATCCTCACAATGTTTGGTAAATTATGTGTGTCCCGTATTGTTGTCGTTGTTGTTAAGTGTTGTTGAGTCAGTTCTGACCCATAGCGTCTCCGTATAGGGTTTCTGAGGAGCAGCTGGTTAGCTTGAACCACTGACCTTGCAGTTCAAATGGCTTTGCAATTTGACTCATTAACCCACAGTGCCACACCAGGACCTCTTGTGTCCTGTATTGTTGTTAAGTGCCGTCTAGTTGGGTCCGACCCATTGCAACCCTGTATAAGGTTTCTGAGGGGTGGCTGGTAAGCTTGAACCACTGACCTTGCAGTTCAATTGACTTTGCATTCCAGTGCATTAACCCACAGCGCCACACCAGGACTCCTTGCATTTCAGTAGCCAGTAATTATCAATACATCTTGATTGAATGCTTGATCAGTTTGAGACTGAAGAAGTTGGCAGAATTCTTCAATTTTATCATCACTGACTTTAGTGGGCTTTTAGTGGGTGGTGCATAAATTTGAATAATAGTACTAACAGAAGACAAGTTCTACCTTGTAAGCATATGGATATTTCCCTATCATAGGCAGCATTATACATCAAGATAGTTCTTGAAATGTTGTTTTTGATAATGAGTGTGACAGCATTCCTCTTCAATTTTCATTCTCAGCATAGTTAACCGTGTGATTGTCAGATTCAATATGGCCAATACCAGTCCTTTCCAGCTCACTAATGCCAGGATATCAACGTTTATGCATTCTCTTTCATGTTTGACAACATCCAGTTTTCCTAGATTCATACTTTATACATGCCATTCTTTGATTAAGAATGGGTGTTTACAGTTGTTTCTCTTTATTTTGAGTTGTGCCACATCAGTAAGTGAAGGTCCTGAAAGCTTTTCTCCATTCTTGTCATCTTGGTCCACTTTACTTTGAGGAGGCATCTGTTCCCCAGTCACATTTTGAGTGCCTTCCAACTTGAGGGATTCATTTCCTGGCACTAATTCTGACAATATTCTGGTGCTCTTCCTCATGTTTCAATAATCAGTATTCTAGGAACGCTGCTAGCAGTTCAGAAGGTTTTCAGTGACTAATTATACAGAAGTAGTCTGTCTCTCCTTCTTCCTAGTCTGTCTTAGTCTGGAAACTCAACTAAAATCCATCCACCATGGGTGACCCTCTTGGTATTTAAAGTACCAGTGGCATAGTTTCCAGAATCACAGCAACACACAAGCCATCATAGTACAACAAACTGACAAGACGTTTGGTGGGTACTTCAGTTAGGTCATTAAAAATACCCTAACTTGGATCAGGCACTCCTTGGTTATCAATGTGACATGTGACGTCTTCCTTTTTAAAATTTTAAAGATATCTTTTGTAGCATATTTGCCCATTCTGATCGATTACATCATTTGCTTTCTTGACTGCTGCTTCCATGAGCATTGATTGTTAACCCCAATAATTTTAAATCATTGACAATTGTATTATTTTCTCCATTTAGCATGATGTTGCTTATTAATCCAGTTAGAGTGTGTAACTTTTTTATAATTTAGCATGTGTCAAGAACACAGTATGGCTGCATAAAAAGCTTATGTCCCACTTGGAGAAATGATACCCTAGAGGAAGTTGTTGATTTTTTTTTTTTCTGCACTGCTCTGGAATATTGTATACAACTTAGAATATTGTGTAATTCACTTGACAAAGCATTTTTAAAGTGGGGATTAATATAAAGTAGTTGACACCACAAATATTTGTTAAATGAATAAATGAAAATGTGTTGGATGGTGAGTAATGCTGAAATCATGCATTATGAGATACTTGAAGGAATGAAGAACTGTCATGTGGATGAAGGATGATACTTCTTCTGAGGCAGTCTCAGAAATCTCACTATTAGTACTAAAGAAAGGAAAGTGTAGGGAGATAAATAATGGCTGGAGAAAATGAAAAGCTTTCTAAAACTGGAGTGGCTGCTTTAAGAGAAACTGATTTTTATTTTGACTAAAGATTTCAAGCGAGGGTAGAAAAAAAGTAACTTTTATATGATACTGTAAAAGAAATTCAAGCATCAGCGTGAGGCTAGAGGCATTAGATGTTGATGATAATAATTATATAAATTCCACAGAAAACCATTTCTAGTGCTTTACAGGAGGTCTGGTGTTGTGCTGTGGGCTAATGCACTGGACTGCAAAGTCGGTTTGAACCACAAGGTCTGTGGCTCAGCCTCACCATCTGCTCCTCGGAAACCCTATACAGGGTTGCTGTGGGTCAGTACCAGTTCAATGGCACTTAACAACAACAACAGTACTCTACAAGTATAATCTCCATCCCTTATAATAATTTTTGAATCTGGCCATGATTATAAAGGCAAAAACCACTACAGTAGTCCACTTGAGTCCCTTTTAGTTATTGAATTCTGTTTTAGCTATGCCAAGTTACAATCTATAAATCTCAGCCTGTCTTACAATTAGGTATCTCCACATAATGGGGTGGCTAAAATGAAGCTTAGAACAATGAAATGTGAGCAGAATGTGCACATACAATCTGTAGATCATCTCTTTGAAGACTGTTGACTTGGGTTTCTCTACCTCTCTTGATAAATGGGAAAGACAATGACTGGAGAAAACTTGGAATCATTTATGTTTTTTTAAATGGCCAGTCCATCCTGCTAGCCTGGATCCCTGGATGAGCTCATGGAGAGGAGACCACATACACACACCAGACAGTTTTGAGAGAGAAACACTTTTCTTTTCTATGCCATCAGATTGTATTCATCTCTTTACTACAGCAGTTTAGTCGACAGACTCAAACCTTCAATCTTTCAATTAGCAGCCAAACCATTAACTATTTTTACCATCCAGGGACTCCTTCACTTTGGTAGTCAGAGACTCAAGTTTGATTGAATTTGATTCTCTTCTTTAGTCAACGGAGATCCATTAGAACCATACCCTGCTGAGTCCCAACTTTCCAC